CGAGAGGAGGCTCCCTTCAGCGGGGACTTTACGAGCGAGACTGTTGGGCTCTTCGATGAGCTTGAATGGCGACGATGGGAGTTATCGTGTATATTCCAAGTAGGTAATCTTTCCCGTCTCTCTCTCGCACGCACTTCGAATTCCCCGCGACGCGTGTGTCCGGCAAAAAGACGGGCCTCTGTTTTTGCCGTTTCTTGCGGCCGTCACGGGTTACGTTGTATCGCGAGGAAGAAACAAAATGGAATATCAGAAGGATAAATCGCAAAGAAATGAAGAGAGAGAGAGAGAGAGAGAGAGAGAGAGAGAGAGAGCATATCATAAACGGCGACTTTTTCGTGCTGGTTTGTACCGTTTGTTTCTTTTTTGAGCGAACCGAAACGATGCGCGCCATATGTTTAATTCGACCGCGTCGAAACTGAACGAATGTTCACACCGTGTGAATGAAGTCTGCAAAAAGTACGGGGTAAAGTTCAAGTTCGAATGTAACACGTGTGTTACGTTTTTTTACGGTGGTAAGTCGGTTCTGGAAAACTTATGATTATAAATAAACGGAAACGGGAAATATTGCTGGTTCTCTCTCTGCAACGTTTAGTCGGACTTGGAAAAACTCATCGAGATTTTCGAGGAAAATGAAAGATTACGAAAACTTTGGGTCCTGTAGATACGCGCAATCCCATTTGGAGTGAAAATCTCATTCCGAATGAATGAAAATACCGCCACTCTAACTTAGAACTTACTCGAAGAAATGTTGAAAGTAAGCACGCATCCAATTATATGGTGCAAAAAGAGATTGATGCACATCAGGAACGAAGTTTTTACAATCCAAGAATTTCCTTCGAAAATCCGGATGAATTTTTACAAGTCCAACTAACGTTATAAAGAGAAAACCAACGATATTTTCCGTGTCCACTTTTTTATAATCATAAATCTTTAGTATGCTGAGTATCTTGCAGCGCTGAATTTCACTCGTTTGAAGTGAGAACTCACTCCGGGCGAGTGAAAATTCCATCACTCTAACCTAGAACTCACTTCGAGAAATTTAGAGAGTTCACCAAGGAACGTTACTACAGCAAATTAATCTGATTTAACCTTCCAAAATAGTAATGTTGATTATTATTTGGCGCGCTACAGTTTACACTGTCACAGATATAGACTTTATACGCGTGCTAAGCCGGTACTTTTCTTCGACGCTATCGTTTACATAATTACAACCAAGGCAATTTAGCACGAATACGTAGTACTTGTTACCCATATCAAACGATAGGTGTAAATTAGACCATAGACGGTGTCGCCGTATTTTCCCGCTGCTTATCTACGCCGGCCGCGATGCGACGCGACGCGCGATATATCCGGTCTACAGAAGTGAACTATGAAAAGTGCAACGTCACTCGAATTTCCATTTCGCGATTATCGCATGTTTATCGACCCTGACTCGCATCTGGCCAGGAAGTCTGGAAGAAAAATACGAATATATAGTGCGCCTCCCAATCGTCGTTTTCGTGAAAGAAATAGCGCGGATACGTTGTTGCGTATTTACGTACTCCGGGTCGCATGATTATCGCGCGTCATCATCATCGCGATGACCACACAATGATAGCTCGATCGGAGATACACGATCCGTTCTTTTTAACTGAACCGACTAGATGAAACAAATCTACGCGCACCGAAGCAGGCAAATCTCGCTTCGTACGCTTCAATGTGTATGTGAATTTGTTGAGCTGATGCTGCCAGTTCAACCAAAAAGAACAAACCAATATTCGATCGTGGTGCGGACGTCAAATGAGATCATCTCGGGCGTGCAATTAGAGTGAGGCTTTTGCTCGAGTAAAAATAAGCGTTACATAATGCACGAACGGTGAATTAAGCGCGCCGACTCGGCTCGCGACCAGCTCGACAACGTGATAACAGTATCTTCGGTGTCATGCCGAGTCATGATAATTCGGTTACCTGGTGTATACACGTCTGCGCCGCGTCGTACAGATTGAATAAGGAATTATGCGAGGCGGTTTTGTAACTCTGCCGTGCGCACGCGGTAATGTAACGGGTCTCGCACGATGTGCGCGAGAAATGCGAATAACAAAATCGAAATCGCGCTCTCGTTCGCCACTCGAAGGCGGTGCACACCGCGGAGTGCCGAGGAAATAAATCATAAACCGTTGGCTTATACGAACGCGGGGTATTAACGAAGAAAGCCCGTGTACTATAAAGTCCTCGCTCTTAAGAAGGCTGCAAGGTGAAATGAGTAATAAGGATTTGATGATAAAACTTGCGCTATATGTGTACGTTGAAATATTATCTAACTGTTCGTACAATAAGAAGATTGAGAGATTCGAGAGCCGAGACATTTGCAACTAAAGTTAACATTTTTTATACTTCGAGAGATTAGTGTGCTATTTTTAATTTCTATTTGTAATACCTTGTGAACTACAAATTTTAATGACAAACTATAATATTAAAGAGTAATATGCAGACATTTGTATACAAATTTTAGAATTATTAACTATTTTGTTTTGAAAATACAATAGTGTAAAGTTCATAATTTAGAAGAAATTTGTTAATTTAAAATTGCTCAGAGAACCTCTCGGTAAAATTAAAGTCGCGGGACATCTTATATGTTACCTCAATTTCGTTTCAAATTAATTATTTATTATTTAGATAGAGTGAAATAAATGTATGGAAACTCAGTTTTACTTGACAAGTACTGAATTTATAAGCGGCCCTCTTGATACGCCACTGAAAATACGACACTGAACTTTACAATTTCCCTTAATGAATGTGAACATGAGGATACGTACAAGGAAAATTCAACGAGAAGGACGAAGATAATACCAAAGGGGAGAGGGAAACATTGCAAAAGCTGATAAGCCCTCGCGGTATTATGTACGCGATTCTAAGAAGAAGCTTATTGCATTATTTCAAATAGACGGAAATGCGGCATCTTTGTCGAACGTTCACTGTAGAAGCGCGCAATAAAGACAAAATGTGGTAAGAACTTTCCGATCTTTATGACATGAAGTATAATCTTTAATCCTGCGAAGTTTCATGAAATTTGTCACAGCCATGTCCGTTTGACTCTTCGTTTTGTCTCGTGGGTATAGTTTTAAAAAACCAATTTTTACTTTTTCACGAATTTTTTCGATTTCTTTCGCGGAAGAAATTGAAAACCCGTTTTTTCCTACCTTTCAACTAGTTAGGCCCGGTGACTAAACAAACGAAGCTGGTAATCAAATTTCAGTTGCATCAAATGGATAGTTAATTTTTAGCCTTGGAGGCTAAATCTTTTCTTCCGTGCACAAGGGATCACCCCGCCGAGGTCGCGCGCGCTCATCTTTTTCTCATTTACTCGTAAAAATTCGTACTTTCCGGAGACGGACGTGAAAACGCGAGGACAGGCGCGTTATTAACCGCAGAATGCGCAGGAGCGAATTTAAACGGACGCGGCGCGCGCTTCCTTCCTCGAAACTGATTACTAACAAGAACGGAAATCCGATGACTATCCGTCACCGTATGGTCCGATGGCACCCGGTCACGTTGCTTCTGAGAACAGAAACTGCATCAGCGGCGCATCGTTGCACCTTTGACGCGTATCTCGCGCCGATTAGGAAGGTGTGTTACGCGCGCTAACGAGAGAGCGACGAAGCGTAATATCACTTCGATGTGCGAACGAATAATAGTGCGCTAATTTATCGTCACCTTTATCCATTGGCTCGCGCCAATCGCGATAATGACGGATACGATGTACTGTATACATTATATGTTTATTGCTCGTGTTTCGGCCGAGGAAAACAAGATAAATTTAGGCCGGCCATCCAGCGATTATCGGCTTCCACGCTTGTTTCGCGTAGGAAAAAAAAAAGAAACACCATTCCCACGAGCAATTGCAAGCACGGTGCGCCTTGATCGCAAGCACAGTCGTCCCACCTCGTCAAGCAAACGCGAGCTTGAAGAGAAGAACGTCACGACGACAATCGACGCGATCTCAGTATTATCGACGGATAATTGACGGCTATCGGAGGGATAATAATTGTCAACAGACAACTGACAAAAATCTATTTACTCACTGTTGTAATCCGCGGCGGATCGATCGCCCGCTTGAAAATAACTTGGGAATTAATAGGTCAATGAAGAGAGAGTGAGAGAGAAAAAGCACGACGACGGTGTGACCGCGTCTCGCGGATCTACGTTCACGCGATATCGGCTGCAACGATGATGATAATACACTGATAACGGTACCTATGTGCCAACGTGTATTTTTCTTATGTGTTTACTCATCTTCCCGGCCTTATCTTCGTGCAATCAGGGGACTTTAAATGCAATTTGATATTAATAGGTATGTTTAACCAACGACACATCTGCACTCTCGATTACCTTGGATTATCGAGCTCCTTAGAGATGTATATTTAATATGACACGCGCGCTTAGTTATAAATTCTCGCGTCCGGTTAAATGAGAGAAATAACGTAATACCGATAAAAAGAAAAGATTACAAAACACGCGGGTTTGTTACATCAAGAAGCGATTTTTCTCAATTAAAACGACCGACGGGCGATCGTGAGCGTGCAAGCTGCCGCGCGATAAATTTCCACGTTTCTGTTTTTTTTTTCTTCAGTTTTCAGCATACAAACGAAGACCGTCGCGGCGCGCATTGCGTATATTGCTAATCGCGAAGCTTGCGCCGCGTTGTAAAAAGTTGCCGGTGTGCAAAAACCGGTTGCAGCAAATGTCATGTTTGCGAAGAAGTGTTTGCCGCGTATCGAAAGGTATCCGAATAGCGGCGCTATCGGAAATCGCGTTCGCGTTTCTCGCTGAAAAGTTTCTTGCTGCCGTGTTAAATTTGGTGTAAACACACACACACACACACACACACACACGACGCTCGCGACGGGAACACTGTGTGTCCTCGAGAAGTTTTCGCGCGAAATGCAGATGACGACGGCCTACTTCGAGATGCGTGTTTTGCGTGTTTTGCGCGAATACGCTTTTCACTATTGTGGACACAGAGCTACATTCGCGGGAGATAAGGAGAGCTCTCGGTGATTATATCGAACGTTAAGGACGTGTAAGAAACACTACGCGCCGGCCGAAAGTGTCGAGCCGAACCTGTTGTTGACAACGACGACGGCGAGCATCATGGTTAAACGATTCCGATGCAATACGTTACGTCAGAGGTACTTTTGCATGCATTTGCAATCATTACAATTTAATTTACAATTCATTTTCATTATGCAGATCTGCAATAAACAAGACGAACGGCTGTAGGCGCGCGCGATAAATCGCGAGGCAACGATATTATTATTTACGTCGGTCATTTTGATGTATATTTCCACAAATTAAAATCGACCCGTTGAGAAGCATCAATTCAACGGAATGTTAACGATAGAAAATATAGATAACGCGAAGATATCGTGTTAGATAAACTTTTTGAAATGTTTGCTCTCTTTAGTGCGTTATTTACATTAACGAGATAGATTAAATTGAGAATATATAGAATTATATATTGACACGTAGGTACATGTGTATCTTTTTTTTTTTTTAATTGTTTCAGGCATGTATACCATGCGCATGCTGGACAATGGTAACAACAATGCATCGGGGCCTAACAGCGGCGCGACTGCTCTACCGGGTGTGCAAACAGCCGGCGGCACAGCATCGACGGCTACCGGCGTCACGACTCTACCCGGCGTAGCCGACGAAAGGATGGACGCTTCGAGTGACAGCGCGGTCAGCAGTATGGGCAGCGAGCGCGTACCGTCCCTCTCGGACGGCGAATGGATGGAAACTGGATCCAACTCCAGCCATACCCAGGCTGACTCTCATTACAGCATGGATTACGCGAGGTATTAATTAATACTGCCGAAACGCCGCCATTGCCGTCGACGACTCTCAGCTCAAGAGAGAGAGTCGAGAAAAACAGCGCACGGTGCTCCCCCGGTCTCCTCTCTTTTCCTCTTTAATGAATCATAAATAATCCTGCGCCGAGATACAAACGACGACACGACGTGTGTGTGTGTGTGTGTGTGGGTATGTATATAGAAATGCGCCGTGTTTAGTTTTCACGGGCACAATGGTCTCTTTGTCTTCGAACCTTTGGAATAAACGTCGCTCGCTTTATTTCCATAATGCGCCGATGGTTGCCGATGTGTAGAATTCCACGCACGTTGCTCACTGCGACGCTTATTGACGATTTACCTTTAAACGTTATTTGCAGCAAATATCGCATGCCGTACGACTGCAGCTACTCGGTATCCGGGAGGAATACCGGCGGTTCTCCGCGATGTCAAACGGAACGGACCGTCGCGCCGGTCGCACAGAAGAAGCATCAAATGTTCGCCAAGCGATATTTCCAAGAGCAGAACACTTGTTAGTATTTCGAGACGATATATATCGGCCGCGCGATCCCCTTGCGGTGATGCCGATGGGATAACGCGATGCGGGGAATTTTAATTGCGGCTTTTCCAGGCTCACCTCTGGGTGCTACCGCACATCCAATCACTCCGATGAAGTACGAATACGACACCCACACGGTTGGCGCGGGTGCGCCGGGCAACGCGTATTCCGGACCGATCGAGGGCGCAGCCGGCCCGCAGCCAGAAATGAAATATAGTTGTAGCGTGGACTTCAGCCGTCATCAATCCGGTAAGAGAAACTTCTCTACGGTAGAAATCGATGAACGTCGTGTCGGTGTCCAGCTTTGGAGGTGGTAAATTTGTGTCTAACGCCGCTACTACACGGTAAAAAATATTTGTATTTATATTAAAATCGATCCTTGTTAAAATTTTCGCGTTAAATTTTTCTTTAATACGCACCACCCGCGCGGATTAATTTAATATATTATGTTTATCCTATCTCAATATGTTTTGCGTTGATATTCAATATGTGTAAATATTAAAATGATATTTTCAAGTGTTCAAATAACACTTTTTTTCAATGCCGATTAATATATTAATTTTGTATTAGTGTTTGACGTAATACTTGTGTTACTTTTCAACATATTCACTTTGCGTTAAATTAATGCAACATTTTTTTGTAGATTGTTTGGGACGTGTGAAATGTGTTAAATTTAATACAAAATTGTTTACCGTGTAGCTGGTAAAGTAACGCTCACTTCTCCTAGTGTCTAAATAATGGCTAAATAAGTAAGTTAGCTGATTAAACAAGAAACATTAAAAATCTGATCTTTCTTCTCAATTTTAGGGCGATCTGCAATAGAACATGTTCATCATAATCATACTTATCACCTACCCGCCGAAAGTTCGGGATCTCTCCAGCGTCCTATTTCGCGCGACAAGAAAGGTAAATTTCTACGCAGCATTCTTCAAGAATTATCGTTGATAATGCCTCCGAAGAGATGAGAATAAAGTCAGGTGTGATGTTGATAATTTACGCAAATTGCAGTTCGCAAGAGCGAAGCGGACGAACATCTGACGAGAGATGAGAAGAGAGCGAGAGCATTGAACGTACCAATCGCGGTCAGTGACATCATCAACCTTCCTATGGACGAGTTTAACGAACGTCTCAGTAAATACGATCTTAGCGAGGCCCAATTATCCCTAATACGCGACATTAGAAGACGCGGCAAGAATAAGGTCGCCGCGCAGAACTGTCGCAAACGCAAATTGGATCAAATCCTAAGTCTAGCCGACGAAGTAAAGGGGATGCGAGATCGCAAGATGTTGCTCGTGCGCGATCGTGATAGCATGCGCTTGGAGATACAGCGGGTGAAGGACAAGTTTAGCCAACTGTATCGTCATATTTTCCAGGTTGGTGTATTCGTTTTTGAAACATCTTATCTTGCGATTATTTTCGGACGAAACCTTGGTAAAAGTAACGTGTACAATGAGAAAGATCGTAACGATATATAATGTATAATTTACATTACAGTCCCTACGAGATCCAGATGGTAATCTGTATCACCCGTACGAGTACAGTCTTCAACAATCAGTGGATGGAAACATTCTGCTGGTTCGTAGAAACCAGTCGAACCCCCATCAGTCGCGGCAATCCTCGATGGAGCCGAAGACTAAGCCCGATCCTGAGCACAAGGAATGAAACTGTCGAAGGATCGTACACCAACATGATTGGTTATCGAAGAACTTATGTCATTCTTGGACGGAACAAGTGCGTCCAGAGCGCAGTGGAAGCGAACACGGTGCCGGGAACGACAGTGTTGGGCGTATAATAAAATATACATCGATATATTTACGAATGATACACACTCGGAATCGTCATGCTACATTCACGAATATTTGTCCAGCCGCCGGCTGGAAGCAAGGATCGTACGCATACCAGATTTATCACGCATAATTCTTGTCAGACGGAACTTATGACTAGACATTTGACACGTGCCTCTTGCACTGTGTCTCCGAAAATAAACAACGAAAATTCTTCGAGAATAATAGTACACGTACGAATCGCTGCTATATGTGATTCCCGGCAACGAAATTTTTTAATACATCTGGAGACTTCAGTAGAAAAAGAAGTAGGATCGCATTTTCAGCATCCTAGTGGTGGTTTCTTTCTTCTTTTTTCTTGTTCCAAGGTGATATTACAGTTTTCAGTTATACTTGTAGATCACTTGTGTCAATATAATTTTTACTTCTTCCGAAGAGCTGTCACACCCCGTGCGCGCTACCCCTCTTTCGTTTTCATAATCGAAGATTTCTTTTTATATCACGCAGTTGAGTAATGATTGTGCTCGTAATGTGTCTCCTTCGACTCTGGCCGATAAAAGGAATTACGAGTAACTTGATGTAACCGAATGAAACTGAAAGTTCCTGGAAATTTCATTAATTTCAAGTTATACGGAGCGATCTCAAGCACATTTTGAGTTCGTACACTGACATTAGCGATACATACTATATATTTCTTGTAAGAAGGTAATTGAAAGATTTTAGCTCTTTTTGCGACTGTCGAAACCGATCGCTACTTGTCCGCAGCGTTGATAAAAGTTTTCAATTTACCGACACATAAATGACTCGGACATAAACATTCGTTGAACCACGCACGAGAACTATTGTGTCACCGCAATTGAAGCAATTCTAAATTAATCTCTTATTCCAATACTACTCTTCCTGCTTCACACGTAAAATACGCTTGTTAACTTCTTGAAGTACATATACGTAAAACGTGTAACTCCGATACACGTGCAGTGATACGCTATAAATTTACAAGGTTCATTATACTTTTTTTTTCTTTTTTTTTTTATATTTGTGAGAGAGAAAGGTTTTCATCGCGTTTCGATGTGATTGTTTCTATCTATGAATACAATATATATATATATATATATATATATATATNTGTATCGCTCTCATATATATAAATATATATAAGAGTGACGATTCCATTGAAACGTACCTATCCAATGATTTCAATCGATCGATTGCAATTATTGCTAGGAAGTATACTTAATTACCAAAATTATGACACTCTGATAGCTCGCCGTGGCGAGCGAGATGCTGAGTAAATTAAATACGTTGCGCGCGTGTCGACGCGAGAACACGAAAACACGCACGCGCATATGTATTATTAAATAATCCTTGTTGCGTTATGATCTTAGAGAATACGTGTCGTTTTTCGATGAAGCGCTTATACTTCTGAGAGCGGTAGCGCCGTGAATGTATAATGCAAAATTGTAACTGCATTTAATTGAGGAAGAAGTAAGGGTGCAGCGAGACAAAAGGCAAATGCTTGAGACATTTGGTGGGATACAGCGAACTTGCAGTAACTAATCTCCGAACCGTTTTGTGTTCCATGTAGAGTGCTGCTTAAACGGACTTTGAAATTTCATTCTGTTTTTCAGATAAATCACGCAAGCGACACCTTGTAATATATATTAATATGATGTATCAACGTACACGTGTACTGAGATAATCATCAATATGCGTGTACGCTGATATAATAATATATAGAAAATAAGAGTATGTGAATATATTTACTGCGACGAGCTGTAATGCTACAATATTAAGAATAGCATTCGTTGAAATACGAACAAACGTAATATAAAAACACATATTTTTATAAAATAAAAAAATGAGAAATGTTCAGGTATTTCACATTTGCCTTTTTATGTATATATTAATGTAGCTAGTATAATTTTCTATAAATATTATATATATTATATATATATGATATATATATATATATATAAATAAAAGATAAATGTATGTATTTATGTATATGTACTTGTATATATAAATACATATACACGAAGAGTAATAATAAAAATATATGTTATAATGTTATAAAAAAAAAAAAACGAATGAAAACGCAGTTTATGTCGGCAATTATTAATAATCAGCTCCTTATTAACATTTACATACGCGATTGTATTCATACTATTGGGTGTAGGATGCCTTTTACGTATTGTACTTAGCGAGCGGAGATCTCATTATCGGCAAACCTTTCTAAAAAAACAAGACTAATTTATAAGAACTCTGTTCGTCTACTGTACAAACAATTTGGACTTGCACAAGCTTGCAAGTCCAATCGCAGTCAAGATCTCCTTCTGTCATTAAATTTCTATATTGTATAAATAAAGCTGAATAAAAACCTCTGGGAAAAGTATCGTATCGGTTCGATGTTATTTCCCTTGATTTAATTTAATTGACGTGTATTTGTGTATTGAACTTTGCATGCCTGCGTTCAGCAGAGAAAATAGCTGAGTGAGAGCTCAACGATTACTAAGCTTAATTAGTACATTCTCCTGGATATATATTGAGAATATAAAAGAATACTCCGAACCTTGATAATAATCAATAAGCGTTCACTGAGCTTTTCTTTCTATTGAAAGCAATATTATTCTTTTATTTTCTCCTATCTCATACAAGAATTATATTTTAGAGCGATATTATATACACAAGTTTTAAGAGCTAGCACTCGTAAAATAGTACTTTTTATATTGAATGATTCGGTCTATGAACTTTACAAGATCTTTCGTCACCTTTATTCTTGAAATGGTTGTGTATACTTGTCTTTGCGCGCAGCTATTTTATTATACGATTATATACGCATTGACACGTATATGCAACCTAAACTCTTGATCTCTTTTGATCAGGTCGGAAATTTTAATCTTGTGTAATATATATATCATTGAAGCTAATAAATCTTAACCTTAATGTCTAAAATAAATCTATTTTAATTGTTGATTACCTGATTGTGTCGGTTTGATACTGTTATTGAAGTATAATAGTTCCTACATACATGACAGGACGAAAAACAATATGACAACCGATAAACTGACAGCTTCTAAAGAAAAACGACACGTTTGATTGGCTCCGCGTCATGTTTTGGCGCGCGACAAGCATTCCCGCGTTCCGTGGGCAGAAACTATTAGGATTGAGATTGGATGGACTCAAGTTTAGTGAACCTTGCTCTGATTGGCCAAATTTTAATTCAATCTCAATCCCAATCTGTAGTCTGATACGGGCTTTACACACCACGGATTAGGATTGCGATTGGATTGTAATTTGACGAATCAGAGCAAAGTCCATAAAACTCAAGTTTAGTTAACATAGGAACGATATTCACGAATTTTACAACAGTTGCAAAGCTGCTTTCTCTGCTGAACGTAGCTAATAAATCATTCATTAGAAACTACAAATCGATTTAGCCGAGACACGCACTCTGCTGGCTAAGATTCGAATTACGTACTAAATTTTCACATGACATCGCGAGATGGCGCCAGACAGATTGTATATTTCCGAGAAACGTGTGTTCAGTTCCTCGGTTACCATCAGTTACTAGAAAACTCAAGTTTGTTTATGATGTCTCCTGAATCTTGGCTTAAAACTCTTCAAAATGCGCAGAAAAATGCAATTATCCAGGACGGTAAAAATAATTAATAACTTCGAATTAAGTTTTACAATTATTATCAGTTAGATTTGCGACTTGTACGATTTTCAATTTTATATTTGCGTTCATGACATATTGTTTCTAACCTCTAAACATGTGATCAATAATAGATTGGTAAATTGTCATGTAAGGATATTCAAGTTGAACGTGAGAATGTATCATGATCAATACTTTTCTTATTATGTAATGTTATATAGTAATGTTATTTTATATGTTATGTTCAGAATAAAGTAATTTAAATATTGCCATCATGTTTAATTTCACAATATCTTTCCACTCGAGTTGATGTTTCTATTATATTTTTTCAAATTATTTTTTTATAATAAAGATTACTTTTATATGTTTCTTTTATTAAAAACAATAAGAATGATAGAATTAGAATAATATTAGAATTTTAACAAAATACCCCATGCAATATTTATTGTTTCGTTCAATATGTAGAATATTCCTGTTAATTTTATCATGTTTTACACAGGCAAGAGGAAGGTCCATTATATGTTACAAGATAAACAAGAATTGGTCGAAGAATATAATATGAATACAAACGTAGTAGTACGCAGAGCATGGAGGAAGAAAAATAATTTTGGAAAAGCAATTGGCTGGTCTATTGAAGTTGGAGAGTCTGAAATTGTAGAGGGTGATGATGAAGCTTGCGAAATAAGAGAAAGTTCAAATATGGTATGTTATCTTCCACTAATATAATTTATATCTGTCTCTAAAAATCTATTTTTTCATTGAAAACAAAATATAACAAATGCAATTGCATATATATTATTACAGCCAATTGTTGTAAGAAGGATCACAAAACGGTCTCTAGAATGGCGAATTAGGAACCTACGTTATCCTAAAGATGTATATTCTGTTACTGCAGAGGAGGATGGCAGTATAACTGTGCGTACAAGCAACAGGAAATACTTCAAGAAATTAGAGGTTCCAGATCTCCAACGGATTGGATTAAAACCAAAACAGGATAACATAACCTTTACACATCAATTAAATACTTTAATTATAACGGTGTGTGAAAAAGTTTCTTTTTACGCATTTTGTGATTATATAACACGTTTATTTCACTTTATTCTTTTATTTTAGTATAAGAAGCCTAAAGTGCTCCTCGACGTGGAAGGTAAAATATTAGCAGAAGTCTTAAAGTTGAACGTAGTATCTGATGAAGGACAATGTAAAACGAGTTAATAAAAAGAATTGTTGCTAAATCTTCTCATTACTGAGAATATTAAATTTAATACAATAGTATATATTATTTAATATTAAATTATTTTATGCACATAATAGCAGATGTGCTGAGCTATTCTTGTGATTATATCGCTATTTTCACTTTTTGACACGCATAATGTATGTGTTAGATAATCTTTTTGTAAGATTTAATTTTCAATAAAATAGCGATAAAAAGATAAATAGAAGTAAATAGAAAATTTTATTTTTTAATTTTCACGCATTTTTATTCACAACTTAATGTTAAAATAGTAGGAAAACGGTCCAAGATAACTTTCAAGTAGAATCTTTGTTTCTTCTCAAAATTATTTCCACCAATGTTTGGAATAGATACGGCTGACTCATTTTACATGAGATCCTAAAATCGATCCTACACGAAAATTTATGCAATTATCCATTACGTTATTTTCATTTACACGATTTCTCGGAGGTAGATATATCATTTTAACGAGTCAGGAAAGTTCGGATCGTCAGCCTAGTTTCAATATGCCGCCGATATTACGCGCCCGAAAATCGAGAGATCGATCGATTGTACTGCGCCGCGCGGTGTGCGTTTACTGCTGCCGCTGCTGCTCCCACTCCTGCTATTGCTGCGTGTATGTATTGTGCGATGATAGTGGTATTGCGTTTCGGTGTAATGCCGTTGCTTTCGCGGGAAGATTTGTGAGTGAGCGGCAAATATGACGAATTCGGTGCCGGACAGGTGAGCAGCTCTTTGTTTGTTACTAGGTGAAGATCGTCGAGTGTTTCACAGTAGTTAGAATTGCTTGCGCGCGCGTTCGTAAGCGCACAGTCACATTGTTAGAGAGGTTATGTCGTGCGGATTTGCCGTTTGAGACGCGTGCAACGGCGATCCGGCCAATAAGACACCCGTGTGCGTTTCTTTATTCGGGAATCAAGACGTAACTTAAATCGGTCCGACGTTCCGATCGAAAGTAGTAGTGAAATTTCGTCAATTACGAAAGCATCGGGGACGCTATACAGCTCGGACAGCTGACCGATCGAGCGTGCATCTCTCGAACGCGTCATTCCTGTCATTCCTCACAGATGGCGCGAGGGGCCTCAATTTGCCGAATTTTCGAAATTTAAATCGCAGTTCAACAACTCAGTTAGTTACGCGTCGCGAATCTTCCATAACCGTTTGTCATCCGTCTCAATCTTGTCGTTTCTCGCGGAATTATCGCTCATCTTCGCGAGATATCAGGTCTGCCTGCCTTATTTACGTCACACCTTATTTACTTCTTGCTCTTATCCTCCTCAGCTTCATAATTATAGTCCTCGTATGCTCATAGGTGGTTGGAGTACAAACCAGTCGGTGATGTGATCAAAGGCACTCAAATCTTGGCGTTCAAAGTTCCCCTCAAAGACGTGAGTAATTTTGTAGCTTTTCGTAAGTACAGTTTACCGATTTGACTTATTCCACGCGTTTTTGAGCGTCCTTTGGCTTTTAGCGGAAAGTCCAAGTTTCTCACATGAGCGTCGCAATGTGAGGTTATGCAAAGCGAATTTGATGAAAGTAGCCGAGTTAACGATTTTTACATTGTGCTACTTTTCTAGCACAAAATACAACAAACATACATAAAATACAAAAATACGCGAGATTCTTTCTTCACTTGGAAAAATTATACGGATATATATATGTATATCTCCGCCCCTCCCCCCCCCCCCAGCCGACTGAAAACAACGCGGATACGATGTACTTCTCGCGTACTGAAATCATTGGTAATTGTGATTATAGTTTTGAAGACTCGGGAAAAACCTGTTTTTTCTGCGGTTTTTCCGATTCCTCATCTTCTTTACGGCAAAAAGTGGCAAATTTCAATAGAACACACGTGAATTTTTCCGAAGAGAAATTTTCTATCCTTGAGACAGAAACCGAAGAAATCCGTGGAAAAATAGGAAAAAAATCGGTTTTTCTCCGAGCCTTTCAAACCATAATTGTAATATGACGGGTAGAATGTCGTATATACACGCAGAATATTATATATGTAAAGATAAAAGAACATATGTAAGTAAAACAATATACATAACTAAGTAGAGTTAATTATTCATTCAATGAATTCATTTAGATTTGCTCGGGTTGCATTCGGGGGGCGAGCTATCAGCTAAAGCCTTCACACACGGATTGCTGTAAGTAGTAAGACTTAAGGTCTGTTCTACAATACGCCGTATATCAGAGTCATATGTCGGGAAGCAGCCGACGGTCCAATGAGAGAATTAATTCTCCGAGAAAGGATTTTCCTCGTATTGCAGAACAGGTCTAAGGAAGTTGACCAACCAAACGGTATATTTCTTTAGGTTTACGTATTTCAAGAGACGATAGAAGTGACGATAAGTTTGGCCTCTTAAGCAGAAATAACTAGAAATTAAATTGTTTGAAATTCTAGTTACCTCTGCTTAAGACTTAAACTTATCATCATTCCCATCGTCTTTTGTAATACGTAAACCTAAAGAAATATACTGATTGGTTGGTCAGTTTCCTTACTGCTTTATGTTTTTCCACTGTGAAGACCTTAAAAGGACCGTCCATGATAGCCGTAAAGTATACGGTAAGACGTAAGCAGTGAACTAATTAACCAACCACATTCGATCATTCTTGTATTGTAACAATCCAATTGGTCAGTTAGCTTACCGCTTACGTCTTACTGCGTACTTTACGCTATTATAGAACGGCTGTAAGAGCGTATCGCGCGCGGAACTCGCTTTCATCAGCCGCAGCCGCCGAAACGATCCCGCCGCTTTCCCGTTCTCCGCTCCCCCTCATCGCCCGGTTCTCCATTCTCATCCTCCTCCTCCTCCAGTCTGTACTAAATCAAAGGTTCTCTTCGCGGGGGTCGTGGCGGCTGCACCGTGGTGGTAGATAAGATCGCGTCGGATTCCCGAAATGGACGACGCGGCAGGTACACGCGTCGGCGCTACGTATGCAGGTACGTGTGTGTGTGTGTGTGTAGGTGCGTGAACACCACGCCACGTACGCTCGTGGGATCGTGGCACGGGTCCTCCGTTAAATCGATGCGACGTCGGGGAACCGGTGGAAAAGAGAGGCGGCGGAGCAGCGGGGGCAGAGAGCCGCGTTCACTCCCGCCGGTCGCGGTGTGTAACGGTAGGAATGGGAAAGCAACATCCGCCGGGAGAAGAGATCTCGTATCGGCCGCGGCCAAATTGCCGTATTGTTGTGCACGATGAGCCCCCTCCGATAGATATAAACAAGCTTGATGTATGCGCGCTCCTTCTTCAGCAGGCACACGCGACCGGCTGCATCGTTCATGCCAGTCGTCGCTGATTCTCCTCGTCTAATCTAGTTGCACCCGGCTGAGAAACGTAGAGGGTCGAGTTGGCCCAAGGCTCACGTGTTGACCATGTGTTTCGTGTACGTACAGAGAAAAGAAGTAGTCTTGAATCAGCGATAGATATTCTCACATATATATATATATAAGAATATTATAATACTTATGATACTCTTAGAGGATGTTTAACTTTCAATTGAGTGCAAGTAATACTCGCATCAATACAGATTCAATCAAATCAAGACAAAACATTTTCTAGGAAATTTTCTATCCTTCTTGTTTGTATATGAGAATATCTCTCATTGATTTGGGATTAATTCTTTCCCGTGCACATGGGAAAAACTACTCGATTCGTGCATTTGATTTTCTGTTATTCGGGAACCAGACAAAAAATCGGTTAGTACAGTTTGTAGGTGAGTCGGTAAGTACGGCAAGATCCCTGCAGGAGGTTTCTATTTAATCGATTGTTCTCAGTTATTTTAACCGATTTTTTAAGCAACAGAATTTTTCCATTAACAGAAATATTGTTTCTGAGTCGTGAGTCTTCGGCTAGTCTCTGTTGAATCGCATGAACTGAAATATTTTTCCTTTTGTCTTTATTTGCGCGTTCTTTTATTTTTAAACAACCATTGGAAACGACAATAAACAAAATCCTTCACTATATAGGGTGAAGCAATAATTATCATCATCTTGAGAATATCTTCGAAAAATAAAAATATTTTATTAACGACTAGATGAGAGTGTGAAGAACGTTTACTATAGAAAATATTCGAACTGATGATCATTGACATTAATTCAATTTCTTATAATTAAAAATCCGCTTTTTTAATTTTTTTGCAGAAAGAAACCGAAAAAAATGAGAAAAACTTTTTTCGACGTTGCATTTCGAAATCCGATTACGGAGTGGAGTATCGCCCTTCGTGAATCCGGTGATATCGCAACTCGAGATCGTCCGCGAAATGATCTTATCACGCGACTCCACGGCGACCATCGGTTCACTAGATCGGCCCTTCTCCCTTCGATTCGCGTTTATTACACTGATGATCGTTCGACGATCCGCCGAAAAGGACACCTCGCATAAATACGAAAACGTTCGGCGCCTAACAGCCGCGCGTCGGCATTTTTACTACCAAAATAATAAGTCGGATAGGTGGGAAGGAGGGGGGGGGGGGTCGTTCGCTTCCTGGTTATCGGGGCTTAAGGGCCGCGCATACGCCACGTTGCATATGCTGATTATGGGCGGCGCAGCGCGTAGTCTCTCTCTCCTAATTGACGGCGCACAAGGTTTCACAGGGCATAAAACACTTTTATATACCTTTGACTCCGCGTCGAGATCTCATTAAAACACGTAACGATAGTCCGCCTAATTGACCGGGCCGCTTGGCTATCCGGCCATGTCTTCTCCCGATACGCGTACTCTCGTCGAAATCTCTTTCTCTCCGCTTATAACATAATCTCACACCGTTGTGACTCTCGTTATCTCGTGCCGAGGGTACGATTAGACGGGTCATTTTTTACGGCAATTACGCCTGACGATAACTCGAATATTAATCAGCGTTGAACAATTATCGATCAACACACACGCATACCGCAATTGATGGCGTTAGATGCCGAGAGATGCCGATAGTAGCCGTTGATAGCGGGGTTTTCGGCAACTTTCTCCATAAAAGTAAACCTTGATTCTTCTCAGTCGGCTCTTTGTCTTGCTTATCTCTCTCTCTTTTTCTTTCGTGTGATGTTACCGTCTCCTCGTGTCATATCGTGGAAAATATGCCAATCAATTATCGTGATAACATGATTATGCGATTGAAGTATGTGATAATATTAAGTACACGATAGTATTTTCGCGCCGATAATTGCAAGATGTTTAAATTTGTCGGTTCCAACGATAGTATTTTTATATTCTATATATTGTCAAGTGTACGCACTAGTGGGAAATTGGTTATTTTCGGCGTGAAACATATTTTAAAGTAGTAGCAACATGTAAGGTCATTATCATCGACACATAAGTGACACTTATTAGAAAAACGATTCTCCTGACAATGTTCACGATTAAGATAAGAAAAAGATATCTTTGGCGCTGAAAATAACGATAACTTTCTATCGGTGTGACACGGGCTCCGTCGTCGATGGCGGGCTTGATTGTCCGTTGAAAGTCTCGTGGAACTTCGCGCCACCCTTTATCCCTTATCCCAACCACGACCTACGACCTACGACGATGGTCGGTCTCCGTGTGTCAGGAACCCGAGCGGGATCCGAGCGGCAAAATTAGCGTTCCTAATTCGCCGCACGGTCGGAGGCGAGCAACAACGTTCTGATCCCCCGTTTGTCCCAAGCTATTTAATTTCCGCCTAACTCTCTCGCCGTCCCCGGAACCGGTTTTTCTCGTCCACCCTGTCGTTCCCGCGCGCTCTCGCTCGCTCGCGGGACAGTTGCAAATAAGTTTCGGCCGGGATCGCCCGCTATGCATATACGCGCATGCATACGCAAAATAGGAGGGTGCCAGGGCTAATTGATTCTGGCGTCGCGGGCATTACATAAAACAAGTCGAGGCCGGGGCCCCGAATTGGACTCATGGCTGATTGGGCCCGCTGCAACGGCGGCGGTGGAGGAGGCCGCGGGGGGCCTCTCGTTAATAGGGCCCTCAAAAGCCCAATGCCAGCACCCATTCTCGGGGCTGGCTCGGAACGCCGCGCGGAACGCTTCTTCATCATCTATAAGAACCTGTAACAAATATCGGCTCACACGAAATGTGATACGCCCCGACGCTTCACCCCCGTGGGCTTTCCATCCTCCTCTCGTTCTTTTCTGATTGGAACCACGCCGACGTTCCGACGGATTTCAGTCGATCATGTACTCCCGGCACACGCATCCCTTCCACGGAGCTTTACTGTTATTATCTTCTCTGCGGTGGTGGGAAATTACGCAAATTAATTGAGAAGATGCTTCATATAAATTCCGCTCCCTGAATTTCGAAATTTCATGTCGGAATAAATGCTTCTCAAGGTAATGCTTGAAGGTCGCTTTAAGGCGCTTCTTTTCACTTTCGCTTAAAAACCAGACGGGAGCAAAGATAAGAAT